CAGGAGCCACAAACTCATTGACAGCCTTTGTAGTCGCATCGAACTCGTTTTGGGAGAGGAGCGGGTGAACGGACTTGAGGTATCGCTTGGCGGTCTCCTCTAGGGTGGGGACGGGGAGTCGCGGAAGGGAGTCTTCAAAGCGCAGCATGGCACCTTTGCTGTGGTCCTCCTTGTAGCCTGCGCAGACCTCGTGGTTAGTTTTGAACCATCCCAAGCATGTGAAAGCAGCGCATCCACTTACCCACTGGCAAACTCGACTGTTTCCGTGCTGGAGCCATTGCGACAATCTACACGCGCCAGATGTCAGCATCTCCTCCCCACCAAGACGCCACCCTCCACGCGACAACGTACTCTAGGCTTCGCAAAAGCGGGCTGGTTCAAAAGTGGTCTGCGAAGAATCGAGGCGGAGGCGGGTACTCGCGCGCGTGCAGCTCTGCTGAACATCACAAAGAAAGATAGGTGAAGTAACCAGGGAAGAAATTACAGGAGATGATATCAGAAGTCCTAGCTTTCAGTAGATCCGAGGCCAAATGAGCACGCGCTGGCTGCGATGACCGGGGTGGAGCTGTGAATGGAACAAGCCGAGGTTGTCGGACTAAGGTTTCGCTGATGCCGGTGACGTGATGTTTGCAGGTCTCACGGCCGCTTGCCCGGATGGATGCAACGAGCGACTATCTTATATGGCTCTGCTAAATTCGTCCCAAGACACCAAGACTGCAGCTTCCTTCCTTCTCAGCCTGTATGCCAAATGCCATGTTTCCGACGTGTACACATCGCGATTCTGGGGTGCCCCGCGGCAGAGTCCCCACTAAACACGGACGCGACGAGCCGGCAATTTCACACCCACAGCCCAGGAGCCGAGGAAGGGATTCCTCGACCGAGCGTGCAAGCGCGCAAGGCTATAAAGAGCCTCATTTGGTCATGTGATGGATGAGGCTCGGTCTAGGCACGGGGCCACGGAGCCACAGTTCGTACGAAGACGTCGGTGTCTCCATTTCGCTCCTTGGCGTCGACGCTGGATGCGCCTCGGGTAGTCGTCAGAGAAACGACCATGACGAAGTTTGATTGAAGAACATTCGTCTGAACCGCAAACTAAGAAAAGTCAGTCCTCCGCATCATGAAGCATCATAGGCTGCCTCCAGCAGTCCATGGAGGGCACGACATCGTCAATATCTGCACAGCTTACCCCAAGTTGCTGATTACACAACGTGCCGAACAGGCGCTTGAGCATAATGTCGAACCACGCTTGTAAACGGTACATCAAGAACCGGGTCATGAAATCCGGTATTCCGTATACGATTCTCCAACAGAATACTTTTATGGACGATATTAATGTTGCTATACTTGCTCAAAATTAGAGACCTGTTCTGCCCCCCGGTGTGAAAAACGCAGGATAGGTCTTCCATGCTGGCGTTAAGTGATTTTGTGGAGGTAAGGATGACTGTAGTGGAGGAAGGAGAGAGGAACTTCTACGCGGTCTATCCGCTTACATCTAGGTATCGGGCTATGAGTTCCGAGGAGGCTTTGAGGGCAGTGTTTGAGGAGATTGGAAAGGAGGTGCTGGCTGAGAAGAATTTGGTTAGGGATGAGCTGGATGCGTTGCTGGAGGATAGAGGGAGTATGAATGCGGCGGGGAGGATGATGTTGCGCTAGTATGGGAGGGTATCGATTGGGAATCATAATGTGCTGGGGTGGGTGGTTGGGAGGGAGGCATTGCAGTTTGAGGGGTTTGTTGATGGGATGGTCAGGGGGAAGTGAGAGGTGAGCTCAGGATGAATATGGCATGATGGTAATGACGTATTTTCATTTTTGTCTTTGACAGTGACATCTCTTTCTGCCTCTCCCTATCTCAAAGATACGTTGATCTCTCTTCCTAAGAGGGATGTAGAGCAGAACAACCCCAACACCAACGCTTCCCAGAGAGACCCTTGCATATGCTCGTCTATCCAGACACCAGCATTGCCCCAAGCGAAGGAACCGGAAAGACTCCAATCCGAGAAAAGTGTGTTGTAAATATAAACATAAGAAACGTCGCAGTGACGGGGTATAAGATTCGACACGCTGCATCGGAAAGATGTTTGAGCAATGCGATTAGACTTTCGGATCGCATCGCAGGAATGTACGGACATTCGGCCACCGACCGGGGGATTGTTCAGTCTCGGTGTGTGTGCGTCCGGGGCTGTCAGATGTTTGACGATTCGGTGGGGTGGTCTTCCGTGCTGTCGCGTTTCATGTTACGAATCGGTGTCCGATCGGACTTTCGACAACCTCTTGCCGTACAGCACGAACGCCATCGAGTGTATTGTCGACAATGCCATGGCTTAGTACTCAGACCAGTGGCACTGCTCGCCAACCTTCTCAAACTCCAAGCTCCTGTTCACACGACGCCGTGCGCGCTCTTCGCGACCCAGACAGCAGAACAGACGTGCGAGGCCGCTGCGCTTCCGTGGCTCGAGACCCTCGTAGGGGTTCTCTTTGGAGTGCGAGGCTGTTGTTGATGCCGGGCTGAGAGGGATGGTAGCGTCGGCGAAGATGTCGCGAGGTTTGCGCGGATCCTTTTCCGAAGTGCTGGAGTAAGGCGAGTTTGTTTGCGATGAGTTGGCCGAGAAGGATGTGTCGAGTGGAGAAAGCATTTGCATTTGGCGGTTTGCTCGTGGGGAGCTGGGGAGGCCGCTAGGCGAGAGTGGTGGGTAGGACATTTTTGACGGAGGGAAAACGGTTGTTGCAAGACGTGTGTGTGTGTTGGAGATGGTAGTCTCGATTCAAGAGAGAAAGGAAGCGTGTGAATGATTATATGCGATGTTAAGAAGCGAATAAAGCCGTTATATGAGAGAAACAATGTTTGTATGACAAGAAAATGGCACCAAGGGGACGCAGAGGCGTATATGTTTATGCCGATCCATCATCCTGCCGTGACCGCAATCATACGTTACCCAGGGGGGGAGGCACTGCAAGGAATCTCCACGCCAAGGGTCCGACGCCGTAAGATGATGGCCAGGGGCACCACGCAGACGCAGCGCAGCGCGGGGCACCGAAAGTCCGCCACCAAAAGTATCCCCGGTCTGTCACTGCCGCAAAACGGGACATTTGCAGCAAGGCGTAAGTTTATCCGCAGTTTCACAGGGCGACGATTTGTGTTTTCCATGTTGGATTGTCGCGGCTCTTGTCCAACCACAACAAACCGCGTCGCGCAAGACCAACCAACAGCGCGCAGCAAATGCGGCGTAAGGCGCAGACTCGCTGCATGAAGGTCTGAAACCACGCCGTCTTCATGCGGAAAGGCTAGACCAAACGTTGCCAGAAAGCCTGAGGCCCGCGCTCCCAAAGAGTCAGCGAACCTGTTGTTCCTGCGAAAAACGAGCGTAGGCAAGGCTGTTTGTTGGGTCTGGCTGCGTTTGTTTTTGCGATGACCCCCCCTGCTCACACTCCTTGAAACGGTCTCAACGTCGCACGTCTGTTGGAAACAAACGATGGATCGCTCGTCACCTCCCGCGCCGCGTATGTTGTTAATAGTTGGCTATTTCCCATGTTCATGCGGAGGATGGGAGGAGCGAGTTTCGTTACATGTCGTCCCGCGATTGCGCCGATGGTGAATCCACCGGGTGAAGTCGTGCTGTCAGCACTTGACTTCGGACCGCATGGTGTTGGTTGAGCTGCCAACGTGGATATAGTGGCATACATAGTACGCGTGTTGTCTGCAGATGGAAGCAAACTTTCATTACTAGTTTCTTCGAGCGACCTGTCAAGTGACGGACAGTTGACGACATGTGGATATATCTACGCGAGCTGGTCGGTTTGTGCATGATAATTGTTGGTTTATCGCCGGCATTGCGTGCGGCACAGCACCGTTAGCACTTCCCCGGGATCCTGCAATCCTCCGTGAAGCTTATCTCTGTATTGATGGAGTTCATGCGAGATGGAGATGGAGATTTCTTGACTGACTTCCCGTGGAATGCGACCAGGCTCATCGTTCCCAAAGACGAGTATGACTGAGCGCTGTCACAAGTCGTTGGTTGCGGGAGTATCTACCGTGTTCGTGAGCAAGAGCCGTACTGTGTGCATGCAACGCGTCAAGACTGCCTCGCCAGATATACGTGCGCATGTTAACGCGAATGCGGCGTGGTTGCTTCGCCGCAGTTGGCGTTGTGCGGCACAGCTACAACAGACGCTTATCTAGCTTTTTTTGATGAGGATGATGCGTAAAGCCTGCCGAGGTATAAGGGCACTACTGGAAAGTAAAATGAGCGAAAGCCATAGGGCCTTCCATATCAATAGGCTCATACTATGAGGTCACCGCTACTTGCAGCCTGCTTTTTCAGGCCATGAGGCAGGAGCGCAATGCCACCACAGTGATGAAAGACGATACCTTAACTCATGTCAGGAAGAGAGTGAGTAGACACAATGGACTGGAGTGGAGAAGATTGTTTGCAATGCGTTGACGCGTCATGTTCGCTGTTCAGTGAAAGAACGAAGAGAAAGACGCGCTAACCCAAAATGGACGACGCGTCTCCACATTCAACTACCGTGACCACCACCGGTGATTCCACTTTCACCACCGGCTTCTATTCTTCTTCGCTCGGGACTTTCCCCGGGCGTACGTACATATCCTGTCGACTACGTTCCTTAATATCAAAGTAAGCTGACTTCCACACGAGTAGTCCCGAGGTGGTCGCGAGAAGATCGAGATGTCATTTCAAATAAACTTTCCCATTCTGTGCACTGACTACGACCATGACGGGAAAGGGGGTATAGAACGCCATTGCACATGCTATTGCTGACCACGAGGCTCAGCTCGTTGCTATCCTGAAACTCAAACGCCTTGTCCATGAATACGAACCCAACTGCACCTCCTTTCGTGAACACCGCAATACCATGTAACGCCTGCAATGCCCTGGACGGCGGCGACGTTGTGACTTCAAAGATACATGTCTTCGGTAAGTCGTACCTTCCGTGCCCTCATCTCGCTCCGGAAGAGGTTTGTAGATGCCAGAACCTATGCATCATACCTTGCGAGACTTACGGGGTGGAGGGGGGTGAGCCGTGCGCCACGTGACCATGAAGTCATTCATGGCATCCGCATCGGCACTCGCAGCGAGAGGTGCAGGTACGGGGAGGTTGCACTGTCGAATGTACTCATCAACCTGGCTGAGCATGACACCCCAATGGTGATTGGCTTCTGCATGCTCGATGGCGATGGTAAGACGACCACGATGTTGACCTTGAGGGGCGCTACCTTTAGCAAGTCCGTGGCGAAGTCGAAGTAGAGGTACATCTGCAATCAGATTTCCTGCGCCACCGGTGAAGACACTAGGGGCAGGGACCCAAGAGGAGGCAGACTTGTCGGCAACGATGGGTCCGTAGTCCTGTTTACTCATGTGGCCCAAGGTACTTCGGAGCTTGTCGACGTTCTCCGTAAGGTCAGGACCATTGTCAAGGCCTCGCGCCCGCAACTTGATAAATCAGCATGGTAATTCTGTTTACTAAAGCTTGAATGACACTTACCATCATTCTCGCAATGACTATGAGACCTCCGCCGGCGCGAGCGCGAGGCGTGTAACCAAACCATCGATATGCTAATGGAGCGTACTACGAAATCAAACGTTAGTAAAAGTAGCGCAAGACCTCGGATGATGATGAAAACTTACCGTAGCCATCTCCAAGATGGTGAGTTCGAAGGAGAGCAGGTTGTAGTTGAGGCTTGGGGGTGGCGCCTTGAGGTACAGAGTCTGGTTGGAACCGTTCAACGCTCCTGTACCACCTCCAAGAGAAACGTTGTCAAAGATAGGCTTCGGAGACATGGACTGGAGGTTGAGGGTTGTTGGCGGCGAGACTTGTGGAATCGCAAGAACAAGCACTGAAAGAACAGAAGCCGGAGGCGGTACGGCGACTGATGACGCGGTCGCACCGTGTTGGGTGGAAGGAGCCGCTCGATTTTGCGCAGCGGTACTGGTCGTTCCAGGAGTAGACGGGCCGCCGGCAGCGTTGTTCGAACGGACCAAGCGTGGGTGGAACGGTTGGGCAGACGGCCGAGGTAGAACCTGGGCAGCGCGGTGGCGAGGAGCACGTCGATGACTAGTACTGCGGCGACTGAGAGCGATCAATGTTGCTGCAGTGTACAGATGAAGCAGTTCGGCCTCTAATTCATCAAGCAAGCCATGTTGACGGAATTGCTGCTGGATGCGATCGAACTGCGCCATGTTGTTGTGGCTGAAATGCATTCGCAGCTGACTCTTGAGCTCCTTGTACTTCTTGATGTACGCGTTGTGAGAGTCGGTATCTGCAGTTGCTGCGTTAGAGGCCTGTAGCTCTTGGACAAAGGACAAGTGTGCTCGGAGTTCTTACTGTGGCTGTCCATGTCGACATCACCGGATTGCTCGCCGTTGCCCTCGTCGTCGTCACCCGCCTGACCGTTGTCCTTGACTTGTACATCACTGCCAGCGTTGCCGTCGGGGTGGCCGTACTCCTTGTTGATATCTGGAGTGACGCACTTGGTCTGGGCCTTGTTGCTGTCGTCGGCGGCCATCGTATCGGAGTGCAGGGGAGATATGAGAGCGAGAAAGTGTAGCCTTGCGGTATCAATTCCAATCGCGACGTTCAGAGAGCGAGAGAGCGGGCGTTGGCGTTGGTGGGGGAGCTGATATAGGCAGGAAGAGTCGGAGCTCTCGCTTAGCCTCAGCGTCCTCTGTCCCTTCACTGACTTCCAAGTCAACGAAAAGAAGCACCAGTACCGCTCATAAGACGGCAGCGGCTTGATAACCACGGCGAGGAGCCTCTGGTAATGCTCATGCATCCCTCCAACACGCTCAAGCAAGCCCATCTCAAGGCCAAGCATCCCTATGCTCGCCTCCTCCAAGACCCGGTAGTGCGCCACCACTTCCGCAAGCCCCGACAGTACTGATGTCGACGAGCTCACGCACATCCGATAGCGAACAAGGGCATGAGCTGTCGGTCGTCTTAAGGATGTCGCAGGCGCAGCGACTGCATGTCAGCTTGTCGTTGAGCTGTACAAGTTGAGGACACAGCTCCTATCGGACCCCTGGATGCACACCACTGACGAGGCGTCCTAGCAGAGACCGGGCTGCGGAGGCCATCAAGTTGTCCCGACAGTCGCTCGCGGCATCGACGACCCGCTCATCCGACGGATTCGGGATCTCAACCTCAATCAGCCTCTCCCGCATCACGACAGCCCTGCCCAGTGCGGCAAACCCCCAGAACACGACGACCCCGCCGAAACAGAAGGTCTAGACGGGACGGGGCTCGGCAGCCCATGTGCGGATCGGATGCGAGACCAAACTCCAAGGATGCACGGAGAGCACCAAGGGGGAAGCATCTTCGCATCGACATTGTCTATGGGCAACCCGCGTTGCGGCTTCCGAATACCCGTGGAAGGGGCGCTTCTTCGGTTGGGTGCAGACACGCTGGTGCGCTTGAGAGGCCTGGCACCACCCCACTGCAAACAAGCAAGGCTGGAGGTCAAGAGCCTATGCAACGAAAGGGCTAGGGCGTCTCCATAAGATCCTGGAGCATGCTGGGAGTCAGGAAAGATAGTAGACCAGATGTGCGTGCCAAGTGCAAGTCGATCATCTCTGACACATGAGACGACTTGTCTCCAGGCGCCGGGAAACGTTCAGTTAGTGCTTAGAGGGCGCCGCCAAAAGCTTGGGTTGGTCATGCCGATGCGCAGTGCGGTTAGGCTTTCTGAAGCTGCATGGTGTCTTCCTCGAAAGACATGACGAGTGCCTCCTCGCTCCCCGCGATTTGGTAGCGGTAACCGAATGGATCAGGCGACACCCGTTATGCCATACGTCGCAAGCGTCTCTGATCGATACCAATCGTCGTCGTGAACAAAGACCGACAGCGAAGTTTGCCCAGGACCAAGTGAGCTGGACTGTGATGACGTCATTGTCCCAACTTTAATGAGCTGAGGTCGGATGGCCTCTATGACCGTCTACTGGGAAGCATGCCGGTCGAGATTGCGACCGTGTAAATCAGCTGCAACAGAGCAGTCTCCTACTGTGGGCCCGTCAATGGACACCTTTGGCAAGCTGAACAGGTGTATACGTATATGATTCCTTTCATGCGATCTTGAGACTTGATGTTGCTGTCCAAGACAACATCGCTTGCGACAGCGAAGTGGAGTGTTTCAAAAGTCTGAGAGGACGGCATTGCAGCCTCTTCATCTTTGTGATACAATTCGAAAGACGGACCAAGCCGTTCGAGATGTGGATTCGCCAGCGTGTATGCATGGTCATCCCGAAAGACTTCGCAAGGCAGCTCATGAGGGTAGTGTCCAGGTCTTCCGTAGCGAGCTCTATAGTCTACAGATCCTCAAGTCACCCCCCGTGGAACACGTTTATAACGAAGGGGTTCTGGCGATGGCGAGCTACGTGGGAGCATGCGATGCTTCGTCCACCCGGCGTGATTACGAAGATGTTAGAGAAGCTTTCCGAAGCAGTATTAACCTCACGGCGCTGTGAAACCCCAGATCCAAGCTCTTTCTATGCTACTGTGGTCTGGTGTCCTGAGAGGCGATTTTCGGCAGTAGCGCGCTTGCCTGGTACTGCAGCGTTTGCCGAGAATTGCTGTCAGGATTTGCGAGGCCACGGGAGTAAGGATGGGATGTGACGCGTCTCAAGGACGCGAGAAGCTACTCATCAAATATGTCCCATCTGAGCCTGATTTGCTGCCGTGAGAAGAGCTCTCCAGGAAGACGACGTTGTTGTGGTTTAGAGTCATGTATGGCTCAGCGAAGACTAGTGCCGTGCGCATGCGCGAGCGCGTCGCTAGTCCGCTGCGGAAGCCATCACCGTCAGCTCGCTGTATGAAGTCGCCAGAGAAGACAGCGTTTGATGTGTATCCTTGTTGATGCGTGTTGCGTAGTCGGCCGATGGGTGAGGAGGTGTCGAAGTAGGAGGCGTAGTCTGGCGAAGGAAGCGGCCCCGCTGGCCGCCGAGGATGCTTGCGGAGATGGCTCGGGCTCGGCAGCCGCGCCAACGTCATCATCCCCCTTCGCGTCTTTGTTCTTCTTCCATCCTCATCTTCATCGCGTGTTCGTTACTACGCGCATGTGTGGCATTCGAGGACCTGGCCACGATGTCGATTCAGCCGTTGCGCTGTGGTGTGAATGAGGTTTGTTCGTTGCGCCAGGCTCGCGGGACTGCGGCTCACGTTTGTCGGTGGGCTACGAAGCTCGAGGAATGTGGAATGCGATACGACAGTAAGCTCAAGGCTCATGGTACGATGGAGCGATCCCGTTTTCGCATGCGGCAACCGAAATTGAGATGCTAAGAAAGAGTTCGCGACGAGAGTTCATTGGTGGTCCGCCATGAATATCGACCGCGGGGCAAAGGCAGTAAGGGTGGCCTATGTAATGTCGAGGTTTCCTCAGATACTCGCGTTGACGGGCAGTCCTATCGAGGGTAAGGCACGTAAGCGGTCATAATCTCGGGTTTGTCGAAGAAGGTCAGTGCTCCCCGGAGAGTCGTCAGGGGCGGAGCGCCACGGCATTTGCCACACCACAGGAGTCTAATACTTGATTTACGATTAGATGGGCTGACGTTAGCAGAATATTCGATTCATAAGTCATGGCATGCTTCTATCGGTTCACAGCAATGTTGTCGACATCCAATCACCTCGAAAGTCACATCATAGCACAGTGCGAGTTCTTTGGGCGTCGACAGTGCGCATAACAGGCTACACACCTGATCTCACGTACCATTTATGTTACCGAGGATACCCATGTCTGCCACAGATGTTTCTGGCGTTGCTATTGCTACACGAGTGGGTACAATGCCTTCTCTACTTGGAGCCAAGCTTCAGCGTCAACTTCATCCCTACCCGTCGTTCGCACCGTCCTTTCAGTTCGCTATCAAGGTGCGCCACTATTGACTCCCCGTACTCTCCTGCATGTCTGCCCTACTTCATGTTCTCTCCGTCTTGATCTTCGGTGTTCTCCAGCCTTCGCCGCGAAGGGGACCCTGTCGATCGTTCCGGGCCCTGTGACCTTGAAGACGGTTGCGTAGGCGATCTTGTAACCTGTTGACCTGGCTGCTGATGGGGAGACGGCCGGGCTGGGGTCTGGAAATGCGCAGGATGTGAGCCAGCAGGCCTTCGGCGAGGACGAGGGAGATCCGGTTCGGGTGAAGCCTCCTGGCGCGCGACTTGCCGCTCGAAAGCTGCCTGATTCGCTTGCCGGTGAAAAGGTGTCATGGCCGCCATCGAAGACCCAAGCCCTTCGGAAGCAGAGTCGTCACCAATCGTCTGCGTCGTCTGAGGAGGCAGTTGTGGAAAGGAGCCGACACCGTAACCGAAAGGGTTTGATGGGGGGATGCCCAGCTGCTGAACAGCGTTTCTACGCAGTACTGGTGTGAATAGACCTCGAGGCGGAATTTGGCCACCAGCTCCAAACCTGTTGCCGACTCCAGCTTGAGCTCGAGCGACCGCGGACGACGTCTCTGCATTCCTGTGCGCCGCATGGTTCTCTTGAGCGTCGGAACGGCGTCTGTGGTACTCGTTCCTGGTCTGATCTCGCAAGACTTCGCCGGCCCGAGCCAAGTCGCCTTCGAGGCCTCGAGATGTACCGCGTGGTGGTGTTTGCGGATCTTGTGGACGAGAAGGTGTTTGCACTCGAGGTGCTCGGAGCGGCGTTGGTGGATCGTCCACTCGTCGGCGATACCTGAGTACAGGTTCTGGAGCGGCGGTCATGTCGCCCTCGCTATCTTCGTCGCCTTCATACCCCCTGGTCGCGTCGCGGCCCTCTTCAAGCATGTTTTCGGGCTCCTGTCGGCTGCTTGAGGGCACGAGCGAAGCACGCGGCGGGCTGTCTTCGTTCTTGGTATTTTCAGGACGCATCGCAAAGCTTGTTGCAGGTAATAGCGCAATGAAGATGTCGTCGGGATATAGGGTTGAAGGACTCTGGAGAAGATTGCAGAAAGTGATGCGGTGATCCAGCGTCGTGGTTCAGCGAAGCCTCGATGTGGGGTAATGGAAAGTGAATATATACGGGAGTTTCAAACGCATCGGTCATCTCAAGTTAGGCCAGACTTCCAGAGCTCTGGTGACCCAGGTCCACCGAGTCAGCCCCGAAGCGTTCTTTTAGAGATCACTATGCGGCGCCAGACCTACGAGAGACGTCAACGACATCCTCGCGACCTAGCCTCGGGGGCTACTATGCACTCATTACTTTGATCGAGAAAGGAGATGACGGGACGGACTGGGAGACGCTCATATCAAGTACGATCGCCTGCTTGTTGGTTTTTACTAGAAGATGCTAACAAACTATCTTGTGTCAAGCAACAAGCGTGTAGTGCCTGTACATCATCCTTCCCGATACAAACTTCAACGCCACATCTCAGACTTCTGCCAACATCGTACTGCACACAATGCGACCAAGAAATCAATACCTGTCCTAGCTTCCGAAATCTGGCCACATACTCTACATGTCCTCCAGGCCAATAAGACTTCCTCCTACTTGTTCCTGGTGGACCGCCTCGGCTGTCTACGTACCGTCGGCGGCTCCGGCTC